TGTTACTTCTTTTAATCCTTACAACAACCCCGTCCTTAGGCTTTATTGTGTTTTATTTAAAGGAGGGGGAAACTGAGTCTCCTAACATTACAGTTCTAAGTATCAGAGCAAGACTCTTGAACATGAAGTTGAGAGTGGTCTCTGAGATTTAACAAAAATAGGAGTAGTGGATTTGCATGGTTGTAAGGATGAGCTTAGAAGGCCACTAGGTAATGGCACCAGCAGTGCAAGGGCTCCAGGAAGTGGAATGGATAGTGTATGTGATCTGGGCCATCAGTCGGCCAATGGATATCATAGACCTGAATCTCCAGAGCCTTGGACACTGGTTCTTTTTATCCTAAGGAGACAGAGAATTGAGGCTGGAGTTTAGATAGCTGAGAAGCCCATGGGTAGAGACAGTCATTCATTCTTTTAACATTTTTGAGCAACCACCATATTCCAGGTCAGTGTTCCAGGCACTGAGGGGGCTTCAACAAGAATAAGATAAAGTCTCTGCCTGCAGGAGCTAACATTCCTATAGGAGGGGATGAGACAGAACACAAGTGCATACACTCACATTATGTGCAGTGGTAGGGCTTGATATGAGGCTTGGGGAAGGCCCTGCTGTGGAAAAGTCATGGAGAGTTGAAAGAAGCAAAGGGCAGCTATGTCAGCATCTGGAGGAAGAAAGCACTGAATAGTACTGAAGGCAAAAGAAATAGCAGGTGCAAAGTTCAGGAGGCAGGAACAATGCCTGGCAGATTATAGGATGAACAAGGAAAACAGCAGCTGAAGCAGAGGAGGTCAGACAGGTAGATGCTGGTGGATTTTACTCAGTCAAATGACAAATTCTTAAAAAAATGTGAGCAGGGGGAGGTGCCCTGTGGCTCAGTGAGTAGGGCACCGGCCCCGTATACCAAGGGTGGTGGGTTCAAACCCGGCCCCAGCCAAACAGCAGCAAAGACAACAACAACAAAAGCCAGGTATTGTGGCAAGCACCTGTAGTCCCAGCTACTCAGGAGGCTGAGGCAAGAGAATTGCCTAAGCCCAAGAGTTGGAGGTTGCTGTGAGCTGTGACATTATAGTACTCTACAGAGGGCAACAAAGTGAAACTTTGTCTCTAAAAAAAAGGGAAGGGGTGGCACCTGTGGCTCAGTGAGTAGGGCACCGGCTCCATATCCCAAGGGTGGCAGGTTCAAACCCAGCCCCAACCAAACTGCAACAAAAAAATAGCC